CAACTTTGGAAGGGTTCCTGACTGCACGTCAACATCGTCATAGTGTCATTTTTTTGCAGGTCAGTGCGAACGCGGATAAATTTAACAAGGTCTGTATGTGGAAGTATTCACCAATCCCGAGAAAAACTTTCCTCTTTTTACTAGAGCGTTGTAGCTCATTGCGGTTCCCTAATACTGTGGAGATAACTTTCGAAGTTTAAAAAAGGTGCCCTTGAACTGGAAAGCAACTGGAGTTCCACAAGAGAGTTTACGTATTGAAGAGTGGTACGCTCGGATTTGATGTTTGCTTTTGAAGTGTCTTTCTGAGCAAAGTCTGTGCTCTGAATCAAACTAAGCCCCTCTTAAGCAGAGGCCTCAACTGTCTCCACTCTTTTCCCTTTTCTCCTCCGCTCACTCCAGGGATGGCTCTTTTCATTTTTTTTTCCAGCTACGTGTTTTCCATTGCATACTAATTGTTTATAGGAGCGACTCAGACAAGATTATCGCCATTTATAGGAAGTACCTTGGTGTTATTACTTTTTCAACCTTCAATTTAGAGTGTTCCACTAGCCTGTCATGCATGTTTTTGGAATGTGGGAGGAAACCCGAGTACCCGGAGAAAACCCACGCAGGCACGGGGAGAACATGCAAACTCCACACGGGAATACCGAAGCAGGAATCGAACTCTGCACTACTGCACCGTGAAGTAGACGCGCTTACCAGTGCTAACCACCATGCCGCCCGCAATTAGTATGGTAATATTGTATAATATATGTTGGTTTTTTTTTTTTTTTTTGCCAAAGAGTTTCTCATCTACTTTCTGAACAGCTATTTTTCAAATGTATTTATTCGTTCTTTTGCTTTCTTCTTTCCTTTTTTCCTTCCTTCCTCCCTTCCTTCCTTCCATCCTTCCTTCCTTCAGAAGTGCATTGAGTATTTCTTGCTGGTGGGTGCTGTTTATATGCACGACTCTAATCTTTGGAGAAGTGCATTGAGTATTTCTTGCTGGTGGGTGCTGTTGATATGCACACGACTCTAATCTTTGGACAAGAAAATATAGTTTTACAATTTCAAAAATGAATTTGTTTTCAGGACTCCATCCTACACTGTGTCTTGTTCAGCAATTCAGCTGGTGGCACAGATAACTATTGCATACACGAGCTCTATGAATGTTACACCTACAAGTAAACAGAGACAGCCAATTTACTGTACTGGATGTACCAGCCAAATGTTCTCTTCATCATTTTACGTAACACATCCTGCGCATTAAACTTATTCAGCTGGGCTGTTATCCGCTCATGTTGCACATTGTACTGCAGGGAGTCCTATGTCCTACATATTTAGTCCTTGAGACTAAATGGCCCTAATTTGTTTATCTCGTTAAGCCTAAAAGTTTTGAAGCAAGCATTCCATTTCCACCTCCCCAAAAAACACGACCCCCCCCCAAAAAAAAAACGGATGCATACAATATGTAAGATGGGATCGTCAAGGCATTTCCGAAGATGATAATACTGTACACACAGCTGGCATACCTCTCTGTGTGGGGTCACACGTATGTGTTCAGGAACCACATATTCTATTTCCAGTACCGGCCCCGAGCTACTTTAATCCCCCAGACTTGACTCCATCACCATGGATAGAAGAAGGAGAGAAAGGGGTCCCAGTCAGCCCAGCCCACTGCACTGAGGAGCACTGTTGAGATTGAGTTGCAAGTTGACTGAAAATAGAGTGTGAATGGAGGAGTCTTTTCTGTCAGGCAGCAGAGGGTTTGATAGAAACCATCCCAGTTGAGGAGACAGCTCTGTTAGTGCTGTGCTGCAGGGCAAAAGACTAGACACAAGTGTTCAAGGGAGGTAAGTGTGTGTGTGTGTGTGTGTGTGTGTGTGTGTGTGTGTGTGTGTGTGTGTGTGTGTGTGTGTGTTGAGATGCAGGTGGGTGTGCACTCGCTTCCGAAACTGGTACCAAACAGCTCATGCAGCTACGTTGTTGATTACAAAGCGTCTCAGGCCTGCTTGCATACTGCCTGACTTGTCCAAACGCAACTGAACTGCTGCGCAATGTGTGTGGTTCTGCAACAGGATTTCAATAGTGGCGGACCATCTGCAACTGGAGCTGCGATTCAAAATTTGAATTGCAGGTCAATGCCATCGCAAGGTCGCGGGGTGTTAGTCGGAAATACTCATGGAGAGGGGAAAAAAAAAAAAGATTCACAACAAAAAAGCCACTGGCAAACTGTCGCGATACGGTAAATACAGTATTTCATGTATGAAAGTACTCAACTATTTATCATACCTGGGGCTGAACAGCATAGCATGGAGAGTCTCTGTTGAATTGCACGAGGGTAGTCAATAGCCTCTCAAATAGCCCCACTGTCTCCTTTATATTTTTTCACGGATGTCTAAACTTGTAGATAGTAATACTGTCCGGTTGTCCAGGCTCACCTCAATGGAGTTGAATATCCCATTGGCCAATGTGCGCACAACAATAAAGACTGGCAAAGTTTCTCCGTTCCTGTTTTTATTAGCCGCATAATAGACATTAAGTAACTTAGACTCGTTGACATCAGCGCGGTTGTGATGTTGCATTAATTGCTGGCAACATGCTGCATAACCTTTCAGCTAAACAGCTGTACAATGACTTTGTTTTGTTTGCGGTCACAGCTCATGTTGTCACAGGGCACTTGATGCCGCACACAAGATCGGGGCATATTCCTTGAAACTGACTGATTTTTATATCTTGAAATTATTAATGAAAGAAGAGTGTTATATTTGGAATTTAATGTCATTGGCGGAAAGAACTATTTGCATGCTTTGTGTGTGTGTGTGTGTGTGTGTGTGTGTGTGTGTGTGCGTGTGTGTGTGCGTGTGTGTGTGGGGGTGTGTGTGTGTGTGTGTGTGTGTGTGTGTGTGTGTGTGTGTGTGTTTGTGAGTTTCAAGTGCTTGAGGGATGGGGAGGGGAGTTTCAACTTTTCAACCGACTGAACCAGCCAAATATTGAAACCCACATGAGCTTTTGATTTTCTAGTCCAGGTCCTACTCGATTTCCCATGACACCACACACGTCATGCTGGATTCTGTGAAAATGCTTGTAAAAAGTTGCACAAGTCCTTTGGAATTTTCTATTTGATCGCATGGTAAAACGTCAGGCTTGGAATATGTAAATCTATGTAACACGGCGTTCATTATCGCATTGAGCAAGAATGTGCAGTGGCAGGGCTGCTTGATTTGATTTTTTTCTCATTCTGAAGTTGTTGAAGAGTTAAATGGTAAAGAATTTCAAAATATGAAATGTGATGCCAGGAGCAAGTCTTTTGTGTGCCTCGACTCGACATCCTTTTTAACGCCTTCTTCTGCTTTCACGAGAATGTATCATATAGTACGTTTGTGTGTGCGGGAATACACGTGTGTTGCATACCGCTGCTACGCCATATGGGAAATATCTCACGTTAAAACGAAAACCGCATATTTACACATCAGCATGTTTTTGACTACGTTGTCAGATAGTGTGTGTCTTGAGTGAAGTTGAACTATGTGTGAGTGAATCACATGTGTATCCATTCCACAAGTTTCTAATGTTTATACAAAGACAACAAGTCAAGCGTGTGAACACGGAAAGTGTGTCAATAGCTAGCGCAAGGGTGCTTTTATACACACACACACACACACACACACACACACATATATATATAATTAGTGCTGTCAAACTATTAAAATATTTAATTGCGATCAAATTTATAACTTCGTAGTTAACTCAGAATTAGCCGTAATTAATCACAGATTTTTATCTATTCTAAATTTCCTTCGATTTCTTTTTCTCCTATTTTTCCCATTTTAATGCTCTCATCAACATGGAATCGTGGATCAGTTTTCTCTGTGCAAACTTCAAATATTGACTGAAACAACAACTTTGATTTTCAATTTTACATTAACATTTTTCACTTGGAGCAGTTATTCAAACTTGGAGCACATTTTATTATTTTAGAGCAACGAAACATCCGCTGTGACGTGGTGCCGCATTAATCTCGCGTTAAAAAAAATTAATTATATATATCTATATATATATATCTATATATATATAGATATATATAGATATATATATATACATATGACCTCTGACTTAACTGTTCCCGATAGATGCTTTTCGGTCAAAAAAGATACATGGAGGCTTTTTTTTTGCGTACCATTGCTTGATTAGAGTCAACGGATTGGTGCTTTTGATTGATTTATTTTTCTCCTGCAAAGTAGCTAATGGTGGGCTGCAGTAGTACATTTGGGTCATTTCTATGCTCCCCTCCACATTTAGATCCCCCGAAACACTGCACAGCTAGTTAAAATAATTAGCCTGCCTGACTTCAGACTTTTAGCAAATGTCAAAAAGGGGTCACCTTCAGAAGACATTTTGATCAAAGCTCAATTTCATGGGGAATGGGAGCTCCAATTTAAAGTAATATTTAAACTTTCAGATGTCCAGCTCCCCAAAACAGATCTACTGGTACATTTTGGGCATGTCAAACAGTTTTTAAACCGACGGGGTCATGTTGTAAGGAGTTGGACTTGGTTTTGGGCGGATCAATCTGGAACAGAACTAACCGAACCTACATTTCTGCTCAGTCATTAACAAAACTATCGACATTCTTCTCTGACTGCCATGACCCTGAAAAACTCAGTCAGCTAACTTCCTTAACTTTTGGTGCAGGGCTTTTTTCTGAAATTTGTTACCTGTTATCAATGTCCTTCTTTCAGAAAACTACTGGCAAAATAAAAAATAAAATAAAAATAAAAAATCCACAAAACGGAAAATCATATGCAGTTGAGTCAGTAAGCGTGAGCACTAACATTGAATGGCGGTTAAACTCCACAAATAAACATTTACGTCAAACACCAAATTGCATAACTTTTATGGTTCACCAGCTACAGGTACGCTACGCGAAAGGGAAAGTGTGTGTTCATATCAATTTTGTGTTCAGCGGGACTGCTTTTATGACCTGTTGCTGTGTGTGTTTGTGGATGTTGACGTTCCAGCTGAACTCGCCGATGAACTCGGTCAGCAGCACGGAGGACATTAAGCCCCCGCTGGGCCTCAACGGCGTGATGAAAGTGCCCGCTCAGCCCTCTGGCACGGCGCTGTCGCTCACCAAACACATCTGTGCCATCTGTGGGGACCGCTCTTCAGGTAAGTTGCTGTAATGATGACATGCTTGATGTGTATCATTATGCGCTTGTCAAATTGCATGCAGGCAAAACCACAGAGGCCTTTCTTTGTCTTCCCAAAATAGTGGATGCTAAGTTGCATGTTCACTTGCCCTAAAAGATTCCGCGCGCTGTTGGCAGCAAGTGTAAAATGTGAGGGAATGCTAGTTCCCGTCTCAAGTACAAAATGAAGAGCAAAGTGATGGAATTGGAAGTGTTAGTGGAAAACAAACATTTACAGAAAAGAAATCAATTTCTCTCATCATTTTGGGGGAGCTTGCTAGCATAAAACCCACGCCGTGTTTGATTGACCTCGCCCCGAATGCACGTGAATTGGATGTGTCTACCCATCATACGCAGCATTGTGGTCGAAACGTGGGAGACCATACCCGTGAAAATTTGCTTTGGAGGAGAGATAAAAGCAGTTTTTTCATTGGTGACGTGTTATGAGTCCATTTTGTGAGGGGTCTCTCATTTTTCCGGTGCTACTCTCGCACCGCTTGGTGTGCCAGGTTGCACCCGCCTTTCATGTGGTAAATCAGCGATTGCGATTCAACTCAGGTTGGAGAAGTCACATTGCATGGTTTCAAGTATTCCATTTGCATTCCTACCACACGCAAAATGAATTTCAATTTTGCACATTGGGCAAGCTGCATCCCTGGCTGTGCCTGGTTAGTTGATGAGCTTATTGCTGTTTGCGTGCGCAATCAAGTTTACGACCATATTTGCTTGAGTAATCCTTAAGTAAATAAAGCGCAATGTTGGTTTGAACGCCACTTTATGGACAAAAGTAATGTTTGTCCTCCTTGTTTCCCCTTCCTTCTTCAGCTGTGTAATTTGTCATTTTAATATAAACCATGTCACACCCGAGTAGGACTCGCAGGACCAGCCAAACTATGAGCGAGTGTGACTTTTGTCACAACATCTCAAGGGTTGCGATTTTATTTCCTTCAGTGATGTGATTTAGTTCCTCTTCCCGTGTATTTTTTAAACAAATAGTGGCAATATGTTAATATGTCATACACTAAATAATATCCGACTGATTATACTGAATGCACTCCATACAACGAGAACAGCATAACACAAAACAATTTCATTTTGCCATTGTGACTGTCTTTCATTTTGGTGTCGATTGTGTTTGCTCACGCGTCAGGAAACCGATCAGTACGATTGACAAACTGCACCTTTCTGTCTCAGGTAAACACTACGGGGTATACAGCTGTGAGGGCTGCAAAGGTTTCTTCAAGAGGACGGTGCGCAAAGACCTCACCTACACGTGTCGCGACAACAAGGACTGCGTCATTGACAAACGGCAGAGGAATCGGTGCCAATACTGCCGCTACCAAAAGTGTCTAGCGATGGGCATGAAGAGAGAAGGTACAGCACATACCGTTGAGGATAGTCACACTTACTTACCCCCCCTCAATGACTTCAACCAAACTTGCGTGAAAAATACTGGCCACCCAAAGGTCATTTAATTTTCCTTTTCTTGAATTCAGGCGGTCAGACTAAAAGCTCCCGTAAGTCAACCCAGCCGCTACCTAGCCTAGCTTGCAAAATTGTTTGCATTGCCTTGTAACTTGGTGTAATTGATCACATGGTTGACTCGATTCCATCTGGGCTAATCGGAGGTGAAAACATGTGGCTGTGGAGAATGCAAAAATGTTTTGTCCTGGGAATGAATGCGAGATCAAAGACAGATGTTCCACTTTTGGATTGTGAGCACGTACATTTGGTTCTATTAAGTCAATTTTGAACCCTGTCCATGATCGGTATGAGGTATGTACTGTCATGTTCTTTAAATTTCTTAATCAGCTTTTAAAAGCTTTTTGTAGTCATTCCTTTTTACCTCATTCGACCCCCCAGTAAGTTCAACATAATAGTGCTACTATAAAATGCTCTGCTTCAAGCAATATTTTTTTAGGAAAATATTGATTTCTGCTTTTGCAACCCAAAGAAGCTCATAGTTGCCGGATATGGAAACTCTGTACGGAGTGTTATGAGACGAGGCTGCCCTGAGGGAGAGATGCTCTGTTGATTGGAGATATGAAAACAGAAAAGGGGGCGTGTGAATCTCTCCTTGTATTACATCTTCCTTCTTTATACACTCGCAGCCCTGCTGATTCTCAGAATCTTGGAAATTGTTGGGAACAGCTGCCATATTAGTGTGAACCAGCTTTTCACCCGCGCAACACATATTGTGCGAGTTTATCTTATGAAATGCAAAATTGTCTAAATTGATTGCACCACGTGCTTCATTTGGGAAGCGCATAACATATGCAGTGATGCAGTGCGTTAAAATAACCCGTGAGAAGGACAGGGCGTGCTGAATGTTTCTGCTACTGCCCTGGTCTGCATTTTATTCAACAAGATGAAATCTGACACTGATAGGCAGACAGCCAAACTGTACGCATGGTACTGCCACACAAATGGCAGTTTTTTTTTACTTGATTTGCTGCATGTGAAAGACAATTATTCAAAACCATTTATGTTTGTGGAGCCTTTCACAAAAGTCAACAATTTTAACCCAGTCTGTTTTTGTATGTCCATAACTGAAATTTGGAAATTGGAATCAGAAACTAGATCACCTCTTCTGAATGAATCCAGTAAATATAAAACCGTGGAGGATAAGCGAGGATGCCCACAGACATGAGGGTGTGAATTTTAACACCTCGTGAGAGTGTTAAAAGTATTAGCGCTCTCGGCAGCGCTGTTCATAGCTGTTTCGCACATTGAGAGCACCAATCACTACTCATGCAATGATGGCCACCGCTGTTACCAAATCCAGACATATACAGAGCGAGTGACACATACGGGAGGCAATGATTAAAGATGCTGAATGAAGGGTGTTAACCAACAGCATATGTGTGCGTACCTGAGTGCCTGACTTCAACACTTTCTATACAAGGCCAGTTTGTGTTGACCTTTACTTGGCCTCCCGTCCACCAGCGAAGGACTCTTTCAAGGATATCATCATTGACTATCACTCGACTCACGCGCGATGCTGCATAGGCTGCCCTACGACACCCCAAGGGTAGTCATGGCAGAACAAGGCAGTAGTAGCCCAAAAGGCTAAGTCAATCCGCAGAACCAGGAACAGGATTATATAAATTTATACTCTTGCAGTCAGGAGAGAAGAGGAGGAGGAGGAGGAGGGCGGAGAGTAAAGTTAACATGATTTCAGCCCTCTTCACCTCTCTCTGACTCCAACACAAGTATTTTACCCTTGGACTGACCTCCACCGCCAGACAGCAGATCCTCTCAAGTGGGGCCCCTTTCCCTCTCCTCCTTGAACAACCACTGCAAGCACCCCTCGTTGTGACCGCAGAAACGTATGAAAACAGATCGTTCCGCAAGCTCCCCGTGTGTTGTGTGTGTGTGCGCGCGCGCGCGTGCACGCGGCTTGTCCACTTTTCCAAGTGTGTGTGCAAGCATGCAACTTGACTGTAAATAGCCAAAAGTCACATTTTTTTTGTGTCAAACCTTTTATAAACTTTGAAATCGGCACACAAGTTATTTTTTATGTGCTATTTTGACTCAAGGGAATTACAAAAAGGAAAAAAAAATGCGCGCGCGCGTACACACACACACACACACACACACACACACACACACACACACTTCTGCATCTTTTCCTCTTGCAACTCAAGGGTGGAGTTGCGGTTCTTCTTGCCATAGCCACAATCAGTCTCGGTGTCTGCTGAGCACACAAACCATTTCCTGTGTCTCCTCGCCAAGCCAATCAGATGACAGAACCACTACAGTTCTGCCCCAAACAGTTAGTGTGTGCGACATGTCAAGGAAAAAAAAAAGGATGTTCAAAACGAAGACCTCATTGATTTGTGTTGTAGTGAAGCTCAGACTGTTTGGCGACCGCACGTCACTGACAGACCGTGCATTGTTTATGTGTTTATAAATGATTTGTGAATAATAGGCGCCAGCTGTTTGTCATGGAGGATCGCGTGAAAAACACATTGCTTTGAGAGGGAAGAGATGAGTCCTTGAGCGTTCCCGCAAAGCTTTATGTACAGTTTTGAAGCAATTATTGATGACTGAACTCACTGAACTCGTATGGATGTGTTTACTTGCATTGTGGGCTCAGCGATACTGTAAACACTCAAGGCTTTTTGCACATGTCCTGCATGTAATATTCTGTCCGTGTAGCTGTGAAACACGGAAAAAGCACTACTCTTTCTGTTGCAAATTTTGGAATATTGAGTTATAGATAGGGTGGTTCGGTAGTTGACTGGTTAGCGCGTCGGCCTCACAGTGCGGAGGTGCAGGGTTTGATTCCAGCTTCGGCCTTAATGTGTGGAGTTTGTATGTTCTCTCCGTGCCTACGTGGGTTTTCTCCGGGTACTCTCACATTCCAAAAAACATGCATGGCAGGTTCATGGAACCCTTTAAATTGTCCTGAGGTGTCAGCGTGAGCGCGGATGGTTGTTCGTCTCTGTGTGCCCTGCGATTGGCTGGCAAGAAGTGTACCCTGCCTACTGCCCGAAGGCAGCTGGGATGGGCTCCAGCACACCCATAGACCCTTGTGAGGATGAAGCGGATCAGAAAATGGATGGATGGATGGATGGAGTTATAAGTAGATTCCCACAATCTTGTTGCCCCCTTTTTTGCATGATGTCCTGATAGATTGGACTCAAATTCTGATGGCTGAGTGTGACATATCCTTTTCAAACTGAACACTGTTGGTCACCACAAAGTCCAGATTGTAACCCAACTGAGACGTCATATGTCTGACTCTCGTGTTATCAAAGACGGTATCTGTCCCCCCCCCAAAAAAAAAACCTGCATAAAGACATAAAACAATGATAATAATAAGACAAGACTGTGTATATACGGTAAAGTGAGCCAGTCATACTTTCGGAGGGGTGTTTGATATCTTTTTGACCATGCAAGATATTTCTGCTTTGAATAAAACGATACCATAAGAAACAGCAGTAGTGACCGGAACCAGTTTTATTACATGCAGCCGTTCAGGAGGAGCGCCAGCGAGCCAAGGAAAAGAATGAGAATGAGGTGGAGTCGACCAGCTGCGCCAATGAGGACATGCCCGTGGAGAAGATCCTGGAAGCCGAGCAGGCGGTGGAACCCAAAACCGAAACCTACATCGACACCAACCTTGGGGTTCCATCCAATTCAGTGAGTTTGCTTTTTTTTTTTTTTTTGTTGTTGTTTTTGTTTTTTTAAATTGTGGTGATATGTAGAACAAATCATCACTATTCTCCACACCATACTGTATATTTTACCGCCGTAACGATATTCAGAGAACTCGTTTCCACACCTCATCGTAATGATCGGGATCATTATCAGGCTTCTCCACAGCTTGCTGATGAGCTGATCGTTTGAATGAGGTGGATTGGAGGAGGGAGACATCCAAAATAAGCTGGATCTGGGCTCTGGAGGACCGGATTTAGTCTCCCCTGTGTTAAAAAGTCAATTTGCCTCCTGATATCTGCCGTTAAAGATGTTCTCTTTTGGTCCGAGTATAGCTCCTCTTACGAGTCCCTTTGACAAGGACTGCTTGTGATCAGGAGGAGACTTCTCCTTGGTCACCTTTTATAAGCTCCCCTTGCTATCTCCCCCCCGTATTCCCTTTGCAACAGCTGGCCATGTGGGTTGTCTTTGACACAGTAGAGACGAAAAGTGATGAATAATACAACAGGCAGACTGTTCTTGAAAGCATCCCCGCATAGTCTCCGCTTTCTCAGGAATTCTGCTGGAGCATGAGAAACATGGGAGCTGTGCAGCAGTCTAAAGGAGGGCGAGAGGGAAGGTGAGGTTGTAGGAGAAGGGGGGGGGGGAATTGGGGGGGGGGCTGCAAGAGCTTCTGCGGAGGGCTTCTTCTGGGATTCGTCTGCTTCAGGGAGAGGGAAATGTCCTGTGAAGTGAAAGTGGAGATGTGAAGGCTGTTATGTGAGTAAATGGAGCTATTTTTGGAGGCCAGATAGACATGCGGGAGATGAGCGTTGACATTAGGGTGTCAGCTCAGACGCTCTGACTCACTCATTCACTTAGTGTGTTTAGGCCTTTTTTCACCAACATCGGAGGTACATCGGCTTCCTGTGGCACATTGGGGTTTTTTTTAAAAAAAATGTTACCTTCACACGGCAACCAAGGAAGATGAGTGTGTTTTCAGGTTACCTTCTCGGCAGCAGTAACTGCGCCACAGCAAGACTGTATGTGGCGGGAAACAACATAAAAAAAATAAATAAATAAATAAAAACCAACGTCCAACATCTACGATGATTTATTGTAAACTACCCCAATGTACCTCTGGTAACATTTTGATTTGCGCAGTTGTTCTCCCCTGAACGCATCAGGTGCCAGTTGATATATCCTCACATCATTAGAAAATGTTGGATCAGGCCTTTTTCGTACAGAAGTAAATTCCGTAGGTGACTTGCGCAAGACCGTGGTGTCTCTTTGATCTCTCTCTTTTGGTTCTGCATCTTCCTGTCTACCTGCACCCTTGCACACTTACCAGTTGAAACCACTTAAGAGCGTGCAACCACACATAGGAAGATACCAACCGGTTGTTGAGGTTATGCTCCACTTCTATTGGGGTGACGCTCAGGCAATATAGAATAGGCAACTTCTTCCGCATCTGGTAAAATCTGGCGCCATTAAATAGTTCGACTGAGAAAATACAGTCTTCTGGTCATCAATGTTAGCATAAGTGAGCATTAAAAATGAACGGACCGGCTAAAGATTTTCAAGTGTAATCCGAATTTTAGCATTACACACATTATTTGTTATTATTATTATTATTATTATTATTATTGGTGGTGAATATAATTAAGTGGTTAATAAAGGTTTATGCATTCATAATACATTTGCTTAATAACAGACAGTAGATATCAAGTTTGGAGTGCTCCGATTGTTCACCTCCATTCTACGTTGCACAGAGTACATACTGTGAGACTTCACTACAGCATCGTGACATGTTTTATTAACCGCACGTGCTCTTTGCGGGGACATGCTACTATTCTTATCGGCCATTCATGTATACAAAAGAGGTTAAAATTCAACCGTATTATAACACTCTACTTTACCAAAGCATTTGGTGTAACTTGCAGCCATGGTTTTGATTATAAGTCCCATTCATGTCGATGAGACACTCCTCCTTATAGAATAAGATCTTGGTGGGGCTCCAATTGGCTGGCAACCAGTTCAGGGTGTCCCCCGCCTACTGTCCGAAGACAACTGGGATAGGCTCCGGCACGCCCGCGACCCTCGTGAAGATAAGCGGTTTCAGCTAATGAATGTATGGATCTTGGTGGGGTGGCAGAGAAAATTGTGCAAAACGGGATATGAATTATTAATAGTACGGCCTCAAGGCCATTCACAAATTGAGGCTCCGCTGTATTTTATTGTAGCGTGATGAATTCATCAAATGTATCTGTACATCGCTTTGTGTGGTAAGATAAAGAAACCCCCTTTGAGGCTGTGCTGGACTTAAAAATGCACGCTTAGCTACCTCTGGGATCCCAATTTTGGATAACAGTCCACTTAATCAAACTTTGACAAGGGATGTTAGCAAAATAACTGCCTTGAAGGCTGTCTTGACCACAAGTCACATTCCCTACCTCACGACCCAACCCCCCCACCCC